CATTTCCCCCATAAGTAGTGTAAAAGTTCCCCTGCGGACCGTGTATCCCTGCGCTTGCTCGAAGAACTAATTTTCCAACTAACATATCATCTGTTAAGTAAAGACAGTAACGTTTGATTGTAACGGAAAGTTCGGTTGTTGTTTTATTAAAAAAAAAACAAAAAAAAACATCAACAAACAAACAAAAACACATAGCAATGACAAAACGTCTTATTGGAAAAGCAAACTGGATATCTAATTGTATGACAAATTTTCTTTAAAAATGAATAAAGCTTTACATTTATCATATTTGGAATATAATAAGCTAATGGTTGTGTTACAATGTAACACTTAAACGTTTTCGATATTCTTGCAGAAATTGTGACACATATCTGTTATCAAATTAAAGGCGTGTAAGAAAGATTCTGCAAGCCTAACAGGAAAGATGACGTAATGAACATACTCGGTAGACTGGCCGGATATCCGTCGTCGCGCCACGTGATTGTGTCATGCTCGTGCGTGTCCCATTGATGCGTGGTGTGATGTTCTGTAATCCATTCTTGAGACTGTTTTGCAACGTCAACAAATTTCAGTTCCGGTGACCAGTATGAAAGACCTCCAAGATTCATTCCAACGGAAATGTTTCTATTCATCATCCTATAATGTTTCATATTATTTTCTCTTCTCACGAGACTAATACAAAATGGCTTCAAAGTTTTTTTATTTTCACGTGGCTTGTCTCATGAATTGATAATAAATATCGTATCACTATTTGAAGAAAGAAATGCTGCATTTCTAGAAGACCAAAATAACTTTAAACATCAGGAAAATTTTTTTCCCGAGTCCTAAGTACAAATGAGTACATAAAAGAAGGTCTGAAACCATGATTTATCTGATTATTTTCGGACTGTAAGTGGTAACACTTAAGCTTCCTGCTTCTGACAAAACTTAACTTGCTATTACTATTATTGTTGCTTTAATTGTTTGTGTATGAAACATGAACGATTAACATTGATTAACTTACACACGTTTGAGATTATAAAAAAGTATAATCATAAACACGTTACAATAGATAATAGTTGTCAACAGTCGTTGATTAAATGGAACATGATTATTATACGTACATGGTTTTATCAAATGTGTCACATGTAATTCCTTTATAACCCTCCCAACATTCACATTGTCCATTCCAGCACGTGCCGTATTTACACGTATGTGCACATCCACATACACCAGGTCCAATACACTGTACGTCTATAACAATCACGTGCAATAAATTTGAATCTACTTTTGCATTATTTCATGTAAAGCATGCAACGAATACAAGATTCAATAATAAATGTTTAAACCACCACACTGATGTTTCTGTCTTCGTGTTGGCAATATTTTTTTTACAGAGACAATGTTACTTTCAAGCCTATAAATGTAGAGCAAGAACAAATATTAACCTCCACAAATTATTGTCATGGCATCGTACGTTTAGGATATAATTTATCCTTAATCCGTAGAATTCCTTTTAAATATAAAACTAACAACAAAAAAACAACAAAAAAACAACAACTTCCGAATGTCCCTATGCAAAATCGGTTTGAACACGGAATTGCAACACCCAATTAGCTCCGGCTAAATTAACATGCAGACGCGTCTTTACAAATCATCAAAACTGAATAAAGAGTTGTTTATGTTTCCAGCCAGAATAATTTTTGTGTAAGCGTTTTTGTTTATTGCTTCAAACTGAACTGAGATTCGTTACCTAGTATGTTTTTGCAAGAAGTATTACCGGGATATCAAGGATGTTGCAAGTCCGTTTACAAATCGATGAATATCACTTTAATGTTAAACAGCATTCTACTACAATGCATGCACACAATGCAAAAGCATGTTGGATATATAAAGAAATATAACGGTGATTGTTTATGTTTTATGCTTACCATTCGGACAATTACAATCCCAGACACATCTATGTTGCGTCTTAGACCACATCCAGCCCCGGTCACATTTGCATGTATTATCTGTTTAAATAAATCACTCGTGAAAATAAAAAAATATACAATCGACAAAAATGTTATCCCTTAAAAATGTTATAACACAAGATTATGTCTTTAAATTACAATGAAGAACAATGGAGAGCTCTCCAAAGGATTGAGAACTTTAAATTACACCAAACATGATTTAAATTCAAAATGTTGAAGGTTTTGTTTGATGCATTTGAAGTGATCAAATGAAGTTGCCCAGTGACATCGGTATGCAATGCTAACTTGACAATGATGTTAATTTAAGTCAGAAAACACCCGTGCTTAAATAAAGCGTATTTTATTAACTAACAAGTATGCCCAGTTCCATATTTATCTGAAAAAGTGCACGATTCGCCCTCTATTATGCCCTACTTTGAAGACACAGACACAGGTTTTTCATTTCAAAACGTTTGTAAAAATAATACAGATCAGAAGATGAGACTGTTAATTACAAACCTTGCATGCATATTCCGTGACCATGACAACCGCAGTCTACACTACAATCTACACCATTGTATCCTTCATAACAATTACACAGACCACTGCGTGTGTTACATATCCCGTTCCAGTTACAATGTGGACACTTGGCATCTAACAGGAAACTGTCACATACACTATAATGTAGACATATAAATGAAAGAGAACTATATTAGAATGTACCCGTCGGTAAAAAAAGTAAGTGCCGGGTAATTACTACTCTTTGTTACAAAACGAAAGTACACGTGTATTGTTTCTTCCTTCTTTTGCCTAACAAAAAAGAACCGTGTAATTGTTTTTCTTTTGATCAAAGTCAAAGGCAAGTGCACAATCATGCAAATTCTTTGATAATAAAATTAAATAAGAAGAACAAATTAATAACTCAAATTTTTTCTTTATGGTGAATTTGCTTGTGAAAGTTTGTGGGCTTTCTCTAATTTAACAAATAAAGGTGTGCACGATAACCTATTTTTGATAAACATTGAAAGTACACTTGTGTTCCAGCCTTCCGTGTCTTACATCTTAGAAAAAAACAAACTGTGAAGCTTCAATTATTACACTCCTTGTCGTTTTCTTCAGCGCAGGTGCACTTCCTATCTTCAATGAACTAAGAATATTGGTGTACTTTTGTTTGCGTTGTGCATTTTACAATTATAAATAACATTCTTGTTGATGTGATTATTTGAATAATTGTTATATCATAAGATAATTACTCCCTCCTCTCAATTCTTGTTTTTTTCTGTAAATAATAATATTTAAGTTCATCTGTATTTAAAAAAGAGACATGTATTGAACAGTTATTTTACCTTATTACAGCCAGCAAAATCACGATGTTCATGTTTATTTTGGACGGCTAACTTAGCAGCGTTTAACAATTTCGCTTGCTGATAAGGAAAGTAGGTGGTTCACTTAAATAATGAAAACATGTGCCCTCATGATTAGACTACTGAAAGGTCATTTAGAAGGAGCTATACCGTACTGGCTAACAGACGGCGGATAAATTGCCAACTTAATTTGGCCATTGTATCGCAGTTATAAACAAAACACATTACTAGTAAAGGAATTATTCTTACATGGAAATTCCATTTCTATTGCATACATTTCTGCCAAATCACTTATCTTTCAAATACTTTGAGAAGATCCGGAAATATAATACATTTGCACACCCATTTCTTTTAAAAGTGCTCTATAAATGTTAAGATTAATATCAACTTAATTATATACATTGTGATCAGTAACTGAGATTTTTATCATTAAAAGTTCAAAATAACTTCCTTGTGTAAATAATTAAAGCTTCAAAGTACAAACTAATGTTTCACTTTTTTCCTTATCTCAATTTAATGATAAACGTGACATATAATCAGGTTTTTAGCTAATATTTCCCATTAATCCACAATTAAACTAGTTCACAAAAATCTATTGTAAGCCTATTACACTGACACGAATATAGTGGCACGCATACAATCTAAATTCGCTGTCTCTTGAATATGATGGAAGAAAGATCAATCAAACTGAAGTAACATTTTATTTTGAAACAATAATGCATGATAGAAGATTGCAATTAATGAACTATTAACCGACTTTCTTTTATTTTAACACTTTAATAGATACTTTAAGTATGTCCCGTGGCTCTATAATATAACTTTAAAGCAGCATACCTCAAGATTCATGCTTTCTTACATGAAAAATTCGAAAATATGTATGCAAAAGTACATTATTGTGAAGTGAACAAAGAAAGTAATTTACACATTTCAAAGAGTAAATTAACAAAAAAGGTGAAAAAATACAAAAATAGTCCTTACTGCGTTAGACATGCAGTAGAAATATGGTGATAAATACAATAATAGCACATAACATGGAAATCATTACTTAATGTTCTCAAACTTTTTATAATTGTCTATGAAAATAACGTTTCGATAGTTGTAAAACGAGAAATATGAAAGGAAACTAGACACAATTCCCCTATTTTTCCCCTTAAAATGCAGTTGATGAGTACATGCCAAGGAGTTGTCTTATTTATTGACATTTGTTGCGCTAGTATTCCTGCTATTGTTAATATGTCGAGTGTTTTCTTAAAAAATAAATAAATACAATTAAAACACACAAAAGAAAAACCACAAAAAACAACAGATAAAACAATCAATATTGAATATATACTTTGACGTCAAATGGATGTATTTATATATTTCATATGTGTTCTTATCTATAAAACACAATAAATTTTAAGTCTTTCAAAGATGCAAAATTACTCTACGAGTGACATAATTATGAAACGTATTAATCAGTGTGGTGCAGTGGTAGGCGAGATATTTTTGTGTAAATATTGTTCATTTGAAATATAATTTAAGTATTCAAGAGCTAAAATTGGAGTGTATATAGACTTAAGTATCTCTTATTTTACTAAATGACTTAACAAGAACATGTAATACATTGTCACTAGGCCCATATACAGTTTAACTAGAATGTTGATGTGGTACATAGTACAAAGTGTAACGGCTGCTATTATGGGTTTGCAAAGACGTCTTTGAGTATCTAAAGTTGTCAAAACATGAGTATTATAATTATATTATACACTAGTGAGGACAATTATTCATTGTTAAAAGTAGATAGGTCTATGTAAAATTAAAAATCACGATATTTTAAATAGTTCTTTTAAAAGGAAAGGGAGTTAAAAATCACGATATCTTAAATAGTTCTTTTTAAAGGAGAGGGAGTTACGAGCGAGTACAGTAAAAAAGACTCAATGTAACCGAGTCTGCAACATGTTTAATTTTGCCGGTTTGGGCGTTCGTTACGGGTTCTGTTTTTCACTATTGTAGTCATGATAATAGATAGGGTCGTGTTCAAAAACTTAATGTATTTTTTGGAGACATGTTGTTCTTTATTCAGGAACTAATACCTTCATTCCAAATAATAATAAAAAAAAATATGAAAGTGTCATTGACAATATGGCAGATTGTCTTCCGAAATATACTTTAAAAAAAGGAAAAAAAAATTGGTTTGCCATTCTAACTATGTTATCTTCTATCGGTAATACTGAAAAATACTTCGTCGGATTTCAGATGTTACATGTTTTACTTCTTATTTCTATCAACGATATTCATTTAAAATGTTGGCAATTCACCGAAATACCAAATTATGTTTTTCCTCAAAATAGATATGATTCTCAAAGGAAATTTGTTTTTATCATTATGGTTTCATTATGAGTGGGTGCTGAATATAAATCAATCATAGCATTTGCCGTGTTTTTCTTCAGTTTATTTCTTTACTTAGTAATTGTTGTTAAGCAACGTTTGATTGAGTTAGTTTTGTGCTTTTTGTGGCATATTTCTTCAACCAATTAAACACTTAATCATCTCAATAATTATATGACTTAAAAGTTATTTTCGTGTTAATACATTTAATAAAGATATCTTTGTCTTATAATACATGTTATACATGTATATATATAATTAACGAATAAGAACAATACTTTCTAAAAAAATTAACAGTTCCCTAAACTGCCAGCGTCTTTCTTATAAATATTCAAATATTATCTAACTTATTAAGTGACATAACTATTAGGCGGTAGGCTACAATAAATGTCCTGTAAATAATTTTAACTATCTTTAACTATTTATAATTATAATTTTCGTGTAAGTTAGGTCAGATAGCTAAGAAATAGTTCATTGTATTACAAGTTAAATTGCCAGTTGCAGGATGGAACACTTGACAATACCCTTGTAGAAACGTGTAAGTTTACCGAAAGTCTAGGAGACATGTACACAACTAGGAAGAAATCCACAATATCTAATAAATATAAAGATACTTACCTGATACTAATGTCTAAGTGAAGTGTGTGAGTGGCTGATTGACAATTTAACTGACTGACTGACTGACTGACCACTGACTGACTGACTGACTGACTCACTCACTCACTCACTCACTCACGCACTCATTCAGTCTAATATAAAAAGAATAAAAAGAAAAGGCATTATTTCCTGCTATATTTTACAACTACCTTGATTGATTGACAAGCAATAAAATTTATGGTAAAATGTTCTAAACATATTTATTAGAAAAGTATGACATTAAGTAGGTGATTTAAAGTAAATTTGACAGTATCTATTCGCTGCAAAAATTAAAAGGCTCCTTATCATGAAGAGTGCTACTTCAGATATAAGTAAAATGCGTTTTTAATTTGTTATTTATTTTCACTTATTTGATAGTTAAAACACTTAACTCAACTTTTTTCTTTTTTCCTGGATCAAGATGTTATTTTGTTCATTAACAATAAATATTTGTGTTATATACGTGTTACCCCTTATTGTGTTTATTATGTTTCAAATATATGTTTCACATTTGGTATACTCTGATCCGTCAGTATCAATGTTTCACCTTATTTCTTGGACAGTGAACAATTGTGTTACTTTATGTAGAAATTCATGTAAACAACTACCTTTTCGGTTGTGTACAGCTATTAAAGTACATTTGTGAGCTTACATGTATATTATTAGTTTTAAAGATTCTTTTGAAAGGTTATTTGGAAATATTACCCAAGCTGCTGTACGAGCACGATATCAAATATATTGTAAGCTAACATATATCTTGTGCTGTACATTCCTGAAAGACAGTTTAATTTGTATGATCAATATTTTACAAGCAAATGGATCTCAAACTTTCAAACTGATACTTATTTTGATGATACAAAGACAAATAAAACACGTTTAAGCACGTATGAATGCATCTGTTTTTACTAACGATGAGTATTATTGATGATATCAAAAGCTTACAAAATCATTTCATAAATATTATGTGTATTACAAAATGGTTTGCATTGAATATCGAGCGTGAAAATAACAAAACAGATGACTATGTAAGTAGACAACAATAATTATAAAAATGAAACATAATAGCCTAAACAGTTCCAAAATCTTCACATTATAAATAATGAAAACGTAGCGTCGCAAAGTATACTCCCAGAAGAGATATGAAGTTCTTGAAACTACCATTCTATTTTTAAACATCAAATGTTCGACATATAAGTTTAAAGTTTTTGAATTTTCGAAAAACACCCTCAGCCCAAAAATATTATATGTAGTCAACAGTAAACTGCGGATAAGCCATTTTGTTAGTTTTGTAAAATAATGTGCAAATTCTTACCCAAGTCAGTTCCCTGTTGCTTGGTCGATTATTGTTTGTTGTTTCTTTTCGATCGGCGACTTATGCCTTTGAACGAATGAAAATTTCAAACAAATTTTCATATTCTATATTATTACGAATGAGCACGAAATAGGGGTCTTAAACTGCATGAACACTTGAGTAAGTGGCGTGTGGCATAAAAGCGCGCGCAAGCAATTAACGTTATTTATAGTGAGCCATGGTAAAATGAACGCTACGTATTCAAAACAATAATGATCTAATCCAAAGATTGTTTAAGTTTAGAGGAACTTCTTTACAAGAACAAAAGACCCAACGCTCTAACCTAAGGAAAATGACCGCGAGAGTTCGGCTTGGCATGATTGGTTCTTAGGTCGGCAATTTGTTTTTGTTTTTAAATTATAAAGTGTATATATTTTTGTGCCACCCGTTAAAGACCATTTGTCTGATTATGTTGAAGAATAGCCCTTGCACTAGATTGAAGGTTGTGTTTTACAGCAATACTTATATATACTCAACATTACTAATTCCGCGACGGTAATAGCATATGTTCATGTGACCAGTGTTAAAATTGGTCACAATTGACATAGTTTAATTATACACGTAAACAACAAAGTTTTTATGCAAAATCCTCTTAATTTGCACGACAAAGGTAGTTTTTTGTTAATTGTTATGCATATTGCAAACGAATCATTACTGTACTTTAAATGAAATGGTTCTATAAGTTAACTGTAAGAATATTTAGTAAATAGGCACTCAAGACACACTAATTTGGAAAGGAAGTTCAACTAA